ACACTTCATAAGTGTAAGTTTTTATTTTTACAGTAGCTATTTGAATCTGTGATAGTTTTTTTTTGTTTTTGAGGAAGATTAGCCCTGAGCTAACTACTGCCAGTCCTCCTCTTTTTTGCTGAGGAAGCCTGGCCCTGAGCTAACATCCGTGCCCATCTTCCTCTACTTTATACATGGGCCGCCTACCACAGCATGGCATGCCAGGTGGTGCTGTGTCCACACCCGGGACCTGAACCGGCGAACGTGTGAACTTAACTGCTACGCCACCGGGCCGGCCTGTGATAGTTTTTGAATGACATTGTTTCAGATTTCATTCACTTGACAAATGTTTCTTAAGTGCATACTATATGAAAAAGGTCGTGGTTCTTGCCTCCATGGCTCTTTAATTCTAGTGGAGGATGCAGGCCTTAAAGTACTAACTGAAATCTTAATTATTTTATGTATTCATTTTTTAGCATATATTCACAGAGCCCTACTATGAACAAGGCATTTTGCTAGGGGCTAGACAAGCATGACTTTAGAAATTAACCCCATTTGTCTTATAGATTAATGGGATTATGTTTAACCTTTGGTTTATTCTTCCACATCTGGTTATATTAATGAGCTAACTATCTGGATCATTAATGCATTTAATGAAATCATTTGGCACTGAAATTCTGAGATATTATAAGAGACCATGTTAAAGGTTTAAAAAGAATCAACATGTACCATGACTAGAGCATTTTATGATTCTCTCATCAAAGTTACAATGAAAGGAAATGAGTTTGTTTTGACATGACTTACTCTTAGTAACCTCATGCTAGTATTTGAAAATGAGTTGGAACCGGCCTGGTGGCGCAGCGGCTAAGTTTGCATGTTCTGCTTCTCCGTGGCCCAGGGTTCTCAGGTCTGGATCCTGGGTGTGGACATGACACCACTTGGCAAAAGCCATGCTGTGGTAGGCGTCCCATATATAAAGTAGAGGAAGATGGACATGGATGTGAGCTCAGGGCCAGTCTTCCTCAAAAAAAAAAAAAAAAGAAAAGAAAGAAAGTGAGTTAATTGGGAGAGGAGTAGGACTGGAGGCAGGAAGACTGGTTTGGAAGCTGTTCCAGCAGTTCAAGTGAGATACAATGGTGGCGTGGACTAGGGTGGTAGCAGGGGTGCAGAGAAATGAATGTGTTTGAGATGTAATTCAATGATAAAGTATGGGACTTGGAGACTGGGCATGATGTTGAGGAAGAAGGAAAATTGAAGAATAGCTCCCAGGTTGTTTGCATGGCTGGTGTATGGAAGGACTGTTTCCTGATGGGAAACAAAGAAGAGAGAATGATTTGAGGAGAAGTTGACAAAATGTTTAAAGATTTTTTAAAAAAAATAAACATGAGAATAATCATGAATGCTTTGAGAAAGATCAATATGAGGAGAGACTTATCCTACCAGGTAGTAAAATTAATTATAAGGCTTCAATAAACAGTGTGATTTTGGTACTAGAATAGACTGACATATGGAACCAATTAGAAACCAGAAACAGACTCAATTATATATAAGCACATGGTATATACTTATTTTCACAGGAATTATATTTCAAAAGAAATAGTTGAATATGTAAACAAAGGTATGTGCACAAGAATATTCCCTTAAAATCAAAACATTAAAATTTCTATATGATAGGATTAACTAAATAAATTATGACCATGTGTACATTGGAACCTAACCTTAAATTTATCATGTAGACATATATTTGTCATTGAAACTTGTTCACAATGCATTACTAGAGGTAAATATCAGATTAGAAAACATTACATGTAATACCTCTACATATTTGATATGTAATATCTTCATGTAAGACTTACAGAAAACCCCTTGAAACTTTATCCCACTTTGGGTGGGAAATTATAGTGCTCTCCTGAAGATTTCTATAGAATCTACGAGGTATCCAATTTCACTTCTCATGATCACCTCTTGCTGCAAATTCCTGTTTGTGTGGAACTCTTGATTTCATTCATTATTCTCATCTTGTGTCTATCCTTGACTCTGCCCCGTGACTACTGGAATAGATAGCATACCCTGCTTACTTGTAGTCAGAAAGTTTGTTCAGGAATATTCATAGCAACATGGTTATTAATAATAAAACTCCTAGGAAATGTTTAAAAGTCCACTGTCAGGAGAACCCATATATGAATTGTGGTATACCTATACAGTGGACTCCTGTACCACATTAAAGATAAATGAAACTCAGAAACATAATATTGAGTGAAAAAAGTCATAGAAGAACAAGAACATTTTTTACTATACTTATGAACTTCAAAAGCACATAGTACAAAACAGTTTATTCTTTATTTGATACTTACATATATAGTTGCATTTTAACGACAATCCGGGGAATTATCAACACAAAATTCAGAACAGGATTTAGCCCTGATTGGGGAGGGAGGGGGTAGGATTGGAAAGGGGAATGTGCATGGGAGGGGGCGGGTTTCAACAATAATGTTCTGTACCTTAAACTGAGTAGTGAACACATATGGATTCATTTTATTATTTTATTATCTCACATATCCATCCTCTTTTGAGGGATACTTGTCAGATATTTTGAAGCAGTCTGGGAGGATATACACCAAAATGTTACCATTAGTTATCTGAGCATGCTGGGTTTTCAAGTGATTTTTTTCCTCTTTGTTTATATTTTCTAATACTTCTCTAATAAATGTATATACTTCCTTTTTAAGAGAAAAGCAAACTAACTCATCCTGTAAAATTTCAGAGTATTTTTTGCACCTTTAATATCCTCATAATTCTTTATAAACACATAAAATTCCAACTTAACCAAATCCATGAAGAATGGGTTGTTCTGAATAATTTAATTTTAGGATGAACTAGAGTTTAAGCTAGACACTTTCTTTTCATAGACTCTTTACAATTTTATTGTCTTAATCTCAGTTTTTTCACTTTTGATATGCAAAGCAGTAGACAATGACAATAACCAAACTGAACAGCAAAGTAATTTACATCTTAAAGAGGCATAATCATTTCCCTGTTCGTTAGATTTGTTAAAAAGGACATTAGAGACTGTTCCGTTGATCAGTAAATATTTATTGAGCACCTAATATGTGACAGGACCTGTTTTAGATCCTGGGGATAGAGTGGTGATCAAGACAAATTCCATCCTTCATGGAGTTTACAGTCATCTGATATATTCACGACAATGTGTTTCATACATAATTTTATCAATAAACAGTTCTACTGAAAGATTTCCAGTAATGAGAAGTTCCCTCTGTTGCTTTCTAGTACTATATTTTAGCTAATTGTTATGTAAGTGCATTTTTATTTTAAAAGATAAGTGATATTTTTAATTCATAGAAAGTTATTTTTTTAATTGACCCAAACTTGGCCTCCTTGTCTTATAAACATTGGTCTTTATTCTGCCTTTAAGAACTTTAGATTCACCTCAGCAACTTCTCCCCTTACCTGCTTTGTGGGGTAGCTCTTGAGGGATAGCCTCTCAAATATGTTGAGGAAATTATTATGCTGCTATAAGGCTTCTCCAGGTTAGAACACTGCAGTTCCTTTCATCATTTCTTCTGTGACATGGTTTTTAAATCATATACCATCCTGATTGCTTTCCTCTGGTCGCTTTCTACTTTGTCACCCTTTGTTGTTAAAAATAAATTACTCCCAATTTCCTGCTTTCGGTAGAGTAGAGTGAACATAATTGACTCTTTGATGTGTGAGGGTCTGGTATGGTCTGAAAGCAATTACACTGACCTTGAATACTTATTCTACTGTACTGTAAATATCATTATAGAAAAAATAGGAGCTTGTATTAAATCTTTACCAACCCTTGGATAATCTTGGAAGATTTTTTGAAAATGAGTTTATTTTTTTCTTATTTGTCTTTTTCTTTTGATAGTGAATTAATCTTTATAAAGATAACAAATATCAAAAATAAAACATTAATTATAAAATTCATCGTGCAGAATTTTCTTCTCTAGTAAACTATGAACTTTCTGAGGGCAAAGTTTACGTCTTACTGTAAGTTTTAAAAAATCTGCAGCACTTAGCACAGTCCTAGATATATGAGAGATGTCCAATAAGTAATTGTTGGCCAATTAATGTCTTCTATAAGAACCTAAGATCTTGTAAAATGAAATGAATTCCAATTTTCAGAATATATTGAAGAATCAGTAGTATATAATTGGACCTTAATTTTATCCTAACCAGAAAAGAGTAACCTTAGTACATTAGTTAAAAGTATCCACACACACAAAAAATACTGATGTGTGGTGTGAGAATACCTTTACCTCTAAATGACAGAAAACCCCATAAACCATGGCTCAAATGGTAAGAACTTTATTATTTACTTAGGGAGCTTGGAGAAACCAGTCCTGAGTCTATTTGATTATCTCAATGATATCATCAAAATCCCAGTCTCTTTTTATCCTTCTGTTGCCATTCTTGGCCTGGTACCTTTTTGATCGTAGGCTTATTGCCTTATGGTCACAACATGTCTGCCTTAGCTCCAGGCATTAAAACTGTATCCATAGAGGAACTTGAGTATGGCCAAGGCTCTGAAAGAACCTCCTTGTATGTCTTTTCTCTTGGGAAAAATATTTTTCCAGAAGCCTCCCAGCAAACTTCTCTTTATATCTAACTGTCCAAAATTGAGTCATATGGCTTTCTCTAAGAAGCAGGCAAAGGAGCGAGTCTTGGGAGCGACTACTGATTAGGTAAGCAACAATTTATGCCACAACTAGAAAATAGATACATATTACAGAAAGAGATCATGAACTTTACTTTTTCAGTAATAATTTCAGGGGAACCAAATTATAAGGACACTTGTAAAAAGATCACTGATAATATTGGGCTTATATGATTGTATAACTTATTCAAACAGATGAATCATCACCTCTCAATCACTTTTGGAAGAACTGAAGAACCTGATTATCTTTTCTAGTTTTTATAAATTAAACAGGCTGTGTCTTTATCACAAAACTATTTTTATTTTTTCTCCTTCCTTTCAGGAGTCCTATCCAAAGAAGAGGAATTACACTATGGAAATTGTACCATCTGCTTCTCTGGATACATTTTCTTCAGAAAATGAGAACTTTCTATGTGATCTCACGGACACAGCAGTTACAAAGAAACCTTGTTCCTTAGAAATTGCAAGGGCCCCTTCACCAAGAACTGGTAATATTTCTTTTTCACAGTGGATCAGTTCAATTTTCATGCTTGTATATGTGAAGATGTATTATTAATGTTTTGATTTCCCACAATATTTTAAAACTGAAAGTGCCCCATTATAGTCTCAATAATTATTTTTTGCATTTTGAAGTGAGTCCAGGTAAGTCAGGGTGTTTTTGGGTTTTTTTTTGTGAGGAAGATTAGCCCTGAGCTAACATCTGCTGCTGATCCTCCTCTTTTTTGCTGAGGAAGACTGGCCCTGAGCTAACATCCATGCCCATCTTCCTCCACTTTATATATGGGACACCTGCCACAGCATGGCTCGCCAAGTGGTACTGTGTCCGCATCCAGGATCCGAACCGGTGAACCCTGGGTCACCAAAGTGAACGTGTGCACTTAACCGCTGCGCCACCGGGCCGGCCCCAGTTAGAGGGTTTTTGATGTGAACTTTCTTAACTTCATGGCAAGAGCCCTCCTGGGAGAGGTGCTGCCTTGGTGAAGACACTTTTAATAGTGAAAAACCTTCTAGGTCAGATACAAAGCTTTGGGTCCTTCAGAACTTCATAGCAGATTTGGTAGGAAATGTATTTTAATATACTTTCCCGCGTGGTATCTGTTTTCAGGTTATCAAAGTGTACTCATCTACTTTGTATATTTTATATCTTTATGGTATTTTCAGATATGTTAATTTATTTATTTGCATTGTAAACTAGTGAACAAAGCAAGCAAATTTTATAGATAAGGAAATTGGAGTTAAGTGTCATTTAAGATCACTACATGGTGGGGCCTTTGCTTGAACATGAGTGTTTGACTATTATCATATTTGCTTACTTTTACTTAACCACTACCTCTAAGAAAGAATGCAGGGTAGTTACATGAAAGTGAGGGAGGGAGGAAAGTTACAAGCAGGTGGTCAACATATTCAGTGCTGCAAAGGAATTATAAGAGAAGTTCTGAAGAGAGGCTGTTTTTGATTTGACAATCCAATTGGTACTTATTTTTGAAAAGTGAGTTTTAGAAGTGATGTGATAAAACCAGATTTCTGGAAGTTAACAGTGAGACACTGGGAAATGGGAAATAAAGGAATGAGAGTGGAGAATATAGATTACCCTTTCAAGAAGATTAGAAGAAGAGATATGATGGTAACATGAGAAGAAAGGGGAGATATGCCTAGTTTATTTTAGGGTAAGATTAGATCAAGTTTAGAGGTTGGAGGAATTTGCTGGTGGAGACCAAGGGATTGAAGACAAATAATAAGTAGAGAGAACAGAATGGGTAGAAGTTAAGACTGAGCTAGTCTAGGAAAACACAGACTTTGCTTCCCTCAGAGAAAAGAGAGACAAGAGCATGGTTATGAATATAGAGAAATTCTCTAATATGTATTTCCTAATGGAGTCAATTTCTGAGTAAGAGATAAAAGATCATTGGCTGAAAAGAAGAGCTAGATCTTGAGAAGGGTTAAATTAAAATTCAGAAAAATCATTTTAGATAATAAGCTATGGAATTTTATAGAATTTTTATAGAAGTGACCAAATAGGTTTTGAACAGCATTGAGGCTAGGGTGTTGTATGAATCATAAGCATGCAGAAGGAAGATTTTTAGGATGAGGTAACAGCAAAATAATGAAAATGGTTAAAATTTACTTAGCATATACTATATGCCAGATGCTGTTCTAAGTACTCTGTACACATATTTTTCATATAATTCTTACAATGCAGTAAGATAAAAATATCATTATCCCCATTTTAAAGATGAGGACACTGAGGCACTGAAATATTAGGTAATTTCCCAAGGCTACATGTTAATAAGGAATGGATCTGAGACTTGAACTTGGATTGTCCAACTTGTGCTCTTAAACAGCATGTCATACTGCTGCATTATGTTAGGAGATGAAGTGGAGTAGAAATTGTGAACCAAGTATTGAAACCTTCAAGAAATGTGGAGATATGACTTGAAGTCCACGTATGATAGCAATAAAATCAGAAAAAGAGTGTTATAGGATAGCATGATCTTCAGATGAGCAGCAGATTTTGGAGGAAGGCAGAACTGTGATCCCAAACTGTGGGAGGTGGTAAGAATGAAAAATCTTCCATAGGAGAAATACTGAAGGAAATAGTGGGGAAATCAGGGGGAAAGCTCAGTTAACATAGGAAAATGGAGGGCATATATGTATGAAAATGTAAACGAGCTTTAATTAAGGCACAGGTAGGAGTGTGTCAGGGGTGGTGGGGGCAGGAATGAAAGAGTCGAAGAAGACAGGGATTTATTCATTAAACAATTAAAAACTAATTGAGTTCCTCCATGTGCCACATACTGTGCTACATGCTAAGGATACAGGAATGAAAAAGACATGGACACAAGTAAGAAGACTGATTAGGCTCAGAGGAACTCTCTTGCTGAAAACAAATAATCATGCTAGATAAAAATACAGGAAAGAAAAACTTCTTAAAAGCATCAAAAAGGTGATAGGAAAATTATATAAGTTGAATAACATTTAAATTAGGAACTTCTTTTTATTATTAGGTTACTAAGAAGTAATCAAGCAAAAACACTGGTGAGGGTGGGAAGCCAATGGAACACTAAAGCCACTTTTGAACCTGCTGTTGAACTTTGATGTTCAGGGCCTCTGTAGGTTTGTTTACAGAAAATAAATCTCTGTGCCTGTCCAACATACAGACTGCAATAGTAAGTCTTTCCTCCACAGAGCTGGGACTCCAAGGGCTACATTGCCACAGTAATCAGAAACAATCCTGCCCCATAACCCCTACCACAAAGAGACTTCAAGGAAAGGTGATTTGTTGTGAGCAGAACAAGGGGGGAAATTCCTGAGGAGCTGTTACCACAAACTGGTCCTCACACAGATTTGCACCCAAAATTTGTATCACCTAGATGGTCCCCAAAACTGTAATCCATGAATTTAGTTTAAAGTAATACCCTCAGGCATCAAGCAGAAGTAAATGTAATCACTCTAGAGAGAAATGTGCTCTCTTCCTAGGCCCCAAATAATTCCTATACATACTTTTTTCAATTGAAATTAGTGGTTTACAATAAGTAAGCCTACAAGGATTCCCCAAATAGAAAATAACAGAAACAAGAAAGAACAGATCCACAAATATTGGAATTATCAGATGCTGACTATAATATGACAATGTTATTATAAATAAAAAATAAATTTGAAGGTATTTTGAAGAATAGAAACTGTAAAAAATGACCTAGCATATTTGGGAGGAAAAAGCAAATTAGATTAGATTCAGCTCAAGAGAGATTTTAGTGAGCTGGAAATTAGGTCAGAAGAAGTTTTTCAGAATGTTGCATAGAGAGACAAAGAGATGAAAAATATAAAAGAGACACTAAGAGACTAGGAGGATACCCTGAGAAATTCTCACTTGTCTAATCACAGTTCCAGAAGGAAAGGAGAAAGAGGGAATGGGGCAAAAGTAATATATTTGATTTTCCAAAAGGCACAGACATGCCCTTGCACTCATATGGAGGCAGAGAAGTGAACAGTTAATTTCAACAGAGTATAATAAGTGCTAAGATAATGTTACACAAGGAGTGCTTTTGGATCAGGAAAGAGGAATATTTAACCCCACCTGGGAGTTTCAGGGCAACTTCATAAAAGAGATGATGTCTGTATCAGTTATTTATTGCTATTTAACAAGATGCCCCAAAACATACTGACTTAGAGTAGTATCAGTCATCTGTTTTGCTCACAAATCTGCAAGTTTGCCCAGGTTCATTTGACAGCGACAGCTTGTCTGTGTCACATGAGCTGGGGTTGCTCAACTAGGGGACAGAGGACCCACGTTCAGGGTGGCTCACTCACATGGCTGGCAAGTTGGTGTTGGCTGAGAGCTTGGCTGAGGCTGTAGGCTAGGGATCGTTTTTCCTCTCCATGGACTGCTTGGGTTTCCTAATGACATACTGGCTGGATTCTGAGAGTGAGCATCCCAAAAGAAATACGTGGAAGCTGTATCATTTTATTCTCTAGCCTTAGAAGTCACAGATAATCACTTCTACTATAGTCCTAAGTCCTCTCAGATTCAAAGGAAGGGAACATGGACCCCGTTTCTTGACGGAAGGGGTGTCAAAGTCATTTTGTAATATAGGATGGGAAATATTTTTGCTGTCATTTTTGGGAAATGCAATCTGCCATGCTCTGCCCTCTGGGCACAATAATTTATACCCTTTTCATATGCAAATTACCCTAGTTTCTTCCTTCAGGATCCCCAAACATCAGTCCATTACCACATGAGCTGCAAGTCTAGCTTCAGATGTGCAAGAGGCTTGCTGGTGAAGTTCTTATCATGCAGGTCCTTGATTACCTTTGCTCTTGGCAATGATGATCTGTGAACTAAAGAGACAAGTTGTTGGTTTCCTCTCCCACACACCCAACATATAATGGTGGAGCAGGCACACGAAAACCACAATTGACATTTCCATTCTAATACTGGGAAAACAGGTCACACAGCAATCATGTCTGTGGCAATTCTGAATCTAATCAGGCCCTGTTCTTTGACTGAGGCTTGGTTCTATGGTGTAGGAATTGTTCTCTGTGGCTCTTGGTTCCACCCTCTAGTCATTCTTTCTTCATAAAAAGTAGCCTATGCTTACAGCTGAGTATCTTTTTCACCTGCTTTCTGCCTGTAAAAGACCTCTTTTCATTTGGTGCAATCTCTGTTCCTTCCAGTCCAAGCTGATATAATTTCTTTTAAAACTTTGTAGACTTTTTGTGTTCCAATTTACATTCCATTCCGTTAGACAAAAGTTTATATTCCATATAAGCTTTTCTTTACCTTGGGCTTCTGTTGAGACTTCAGTAAGACAGTGTCTTTAAGATTCTTAGAAACCCTATTGTTAACAGGGAGGATCTCTGAGACACACCCTTAAAAATCTTTAGAGGATCTTTTGTCTGGCTTAAAGGTTATGAGGCACACCTGAGATCTTTCTTAGGCCTTAACAAGTGATCTTGTAGTCCCACTCAGATTTGATCATTGACCTTCTTG